TGCATAACAAGTAAAGTTTGTACATTCTGCAAGTTGGTGTGTAATCAGTTTATTTAGAACGACGTTCTAGAGCAGAAGAGCTCCTGCGACCACCCTTTGAAGAAATGAAGCGAAAAAGCTCTCTCACCATTTTCTATTGAGAAACTATGAATTAAAAAATTTATAAAAGAGGATATATGTCTTAAAATTAGCAAAGGAACAACCTTGTGTTTAACATAGGTTTAGTCAAGATCTCAATCGATTTCGAGAGCAAACAGGTACAGGTGCCTTTTCATCAGGACAAAGAAATCTTTAAAGCTTGCAGATTTCTTTGCTTTTGATGAAGAGGGACCTGTACTTGTTTTCCCTCGAAATCGATCGGGATCTTGACTAAATCTATGCCAACTAGAATGTTGTTGCTTTGTTAAATTTTTGTTTCACTTTGGCGAGTTTATCTTTTCTGTTTCAAGGATATTAGTCCATTGGAATGTGGATGTCAGTTAAGTTTCGAGGGAGTAGGGCCACTTTACAGAATCGAAATGTCAATTGAAACTGTTGTGAGATAAATAACTCAGTGGTTCCGTTGGACAGAGAATGAAAGTTTATTTATATGTCATAGGAAAAGATACAATTCAACATAAAAGGTTTGGCGTAATGAAACCACCGACAGCAATTCCATCTACTAAGCTTATTTGCAACATATTATGCCGTTCACTTAACTGAATCTTAACTAGACACTCTCTCAACCTCTAAGCTTAACTACATCTTTATTTAGACATGCCAGTTCACTGTCAGTATTCACTGAGTGAATTGGCTTGGTCATTGGCCAGCTGAATCCACCAGGCAGTATTGGTTAATTTCACTGACTTGGCGGTGAGCCATGCATGCTTTACGTATAGCTTAAAAACATGAAATAATATTTATTAGCATGGAAAAAACTACTGAGTGTGCCATTATATCCACTACACCGGCCCTTAATCGTACATCCAGAAACTAAATTAAGATAATTTTGAACCATTGCAAAAGTAAATGTGTTCATTCAGCTTAGACATGGATAAAGATTTAGTTAACATGTCCCCAATTCGTGCATTTGAACAGATTAACTCAATTTTTATATGTCCATTTACACACTCATGAATATATTTAAGTTGCAACCTACCTGAATTATTATCGTTATATATGCACTACATGATAGATTATCCCCAAACACTGTGATACTATTAATACCAACGATTTCACTAGCTATTGATGTCAACCTAAATAAATCTTGAACACCTTTCGCTAAGGAAGTAATTTCTGCTGCCGTTGAGGATAAAGCTACACAGTTTTATTTTCTACAGCATTATAGTAAAAGACAAACATTTAACGTGATAACATAGCCAGAAATTGATTTTATATTATTACGATTTGCCCCCCCCCCAACTTGCATCTATGTGCATAGACAAATGAGAAATCTTACTACACTTGGAATGCATTAATTTGACGCCCATACGGAAAGTAACTCTGACTCCCATACCGTAGGGCCCGGATTCTAATTCAGGAGTAGACATGGATGTAATTTGTCCGTCCCCTCATAGGAGCCAAACGGTGGACTACCTATTAGATGCAGATGCTTCCATAATAAAGTGGACACCGCTTTCGACCTTAGTAGTGGCCAACGTCTATGCACGGCTTTGGCCCGCTACAAGGGGAAAAAACACTTCAGCTACTTCTTTAGGGCAGCGAAGGATTCGCTTAATAGCATACCATGCACAATCAGTAGGATTATCTTGCGAATGGCTGAAAACATTTACTGCCGCCCAATAGGTATAATGGTTACCGTCGCTGACTGCCGTGCTAAAGGGAGAAAGCATGGATGTTTGTAAACGTATAGTGTGCGTGCGGCATGGGGGCATTCTAAGTATGCGGCGAGCTGAAAGTCCTCTCGTGTGGTTTGGCGGAAGGGAAGATGGGTGGGAGACCCTCGGACTCGTCCGCCCGGGGTGCTCTCCGTCAAAATCGGGGGCGGAACTGAGCTAAACTGCACTGTCACCTGTAAGGTGCTCACGGGTGTTGCCAACGTTAGGCATAAATTTGCGCTGCTTGCCACGAGATATTTCGGGGGCTTGAGCTGACTATACGCCAGACAAGTGAGCATCAGCAACAACAAGAACAATTCCCGGTCTAGTCATATAAGCTAGATGCAAAAATAAACCAAACAGTCCTCGGTTGTTGTTTATAGATTAGAAATAGTTAGAGAAGATGAATGCGCGACCGAGTTATGAAAACCAAGTGAAGCGAAGTAAACACAAACTGGCATACCCTGAACGCCAGTTTGTGTTCACTTCGCTCTTATGTGTCGGTTCTTCTTGGGATAAAGTTCAACAGTCAGAAGGCATAACCTTCTCTTCTTCTTTTCCGAGGATTTATCTTTTTTAGTGAAACGAAAAGAGCCGCTGCGTGGACGAATTCATTTTAAAACATAGGAGAGTTCTTTCCCTAACACATTGCTCTCTAAACGCATTAAGGAAGAGAAATTACACGAATAAATTTAAAATTTTCAGAATCTGGCTCTGAGAAAGAGCTGAAGAGAAAAATTTGCGAAGGAGAAACTAGCTTATATAATAATTTTTTTGGGGTCAATTCTTCATCCGACTACATTGTGGGAAGTCTACATATATAGAATGACTCAAAAAAGTATTTGATCGTAGGAAACTTTCAAACATTCAGTCATAAAAATTCAGCCCTTGCTATAAAACTGAATATTTTTTGTTTTTGTTTTCTTTGAGCAAGTGCCATTCTAAATCTGGTATAATATACAAAATTAAATAAAACTTATAAAGAAATAATGTGTTTTAAATGTCGACTTTAAGTACGAAATTAAAGTAAGAAAAAAATTGGGGAACTGGGGTAGCATTAAGATAAAGCAGAAATTTTGACAGATTTTTGTTTTAAATGCTTGAAAGATGAATTTTAAACCCAGAAAAGATAAATCTTGAGGAACTACTTAAAAAATTCCATGATTTCTTCTGACGTCAGAAAACTGAATTTTTTTTTCATCGGAGTTATAGAAAATCTAAAGAAAAAATAGATTAATTTTTTAATATAGGGAAATTTTCTGTTTATAATATAATTTCGAAATAATGCTAAACAAATCTGATTGATAAAAAACAATGAAAAGAGCTTTCAAGCCAGTTCACTGAACGAAAAAAAAAGGTGGGTCATTAGAAGTATTATTTGTAATCCTTTGTAATCCAGTGCAGTCAGACTGATTTTAGAAGCTCATTAGAAAGTCTAGTAAGTGTGTTAATGAAGAAATTATTAGAAATATTTCAAGAAAATGTAATTTTCATGGCGAATAGCTAGCAGAAAAACATTTCTTTGTAAAGTGAATCGAAATGCATGATTACAGTTCGCTAAGATCTATAGCAGGGGTGGCCAAAGTGCGTCTCGCAAGCCTGATACGGCTCTCGCAGGCAATTTGTGAGGCTCATGCATATAAATTATATGTATGAAATATCTTAAACTAAAACTATTCAGTGTCCAAAAGGAAATAAATAATTAGTTTAGACTCTTTTTACAAATTTATCAGGGATTTCTTTCTATTTGAAACCTCCTCCACTATTTCTATAATGTTGTAAATATGAACTTGTGGCTTTTAGAAATTCTAGATGCGGCTCTCGAACATTCTTGAATTCAATCGTGCGGCTCTTACTGACATGAAGTTTGGCCAACCCTGATCTATAGTATGAGAACCTCAATACATCCAGCCCTTTTTTGAATCCTCCACAATTAAATGCAAAAGAATAGGAATGATATGAATGCAAACTTTCTTCGCTCCTTCTTTGGAGACATTCGATACTGAATACGTTTTTGGGTGCACTTTAAGTCACAAAATACTCAAATTAGCAACGAAGTGAATCTGAACATTGAACTGATTTGGTCTCATGAGCCCACTTTGGCATTATAGATCTGTGGATGAAGAGTTATTATAAGGAGATGTAAGATGAAGATAAAAATTGGACGTAGTTTTAACACGCTATTAGCAGGTGCAATCTCACTGCTTTTCATGCCATAAACATACCCGAAAGAACCAACAAGATAAGCGTAAGTCCATCATCAAACATATAATGAATCCACTGGCCGACACTCTAAGCTGATTGCCACTCAAATAAAAGTGGACCCATTGGAACTGGTAAATAACATCTATGCTAACATGGGTGGGAAAAATATATTAGTTTATAATTTAAAAATTAACTCATAAGTCGATGTCATGGTAAATGCGTTTTGAAATGCAAGAGAAAGGGAGAAAATGAAAGGGTATTGCTACGTGCGTAGGGGCTCGTAATGGATTGAATGCACACAAAAACGATAAATTTTGATGGAATTTATTTTAAGAAAACACTTTAGACTTCTGGAATTATTTATACAGAAGTACTACAGGTCTTCTCAGAATGACAGAGCACAATCAGTAGTTATTACTTCAAACTACTAAAGCAGCTGAACGCTAAGCAATGCAAAGATCATCCAAATGCATAGGATCGCACGGTAATTTCTCAATATTTTAAGTTCAGCTGAAAACTGATGCCCTGTCCGGGCTTATACAATTTCCCCCCGTTCGCTGAAAAATTTCCTTTGATTTCTTCAAAAGGCTGGAAGGCATACACAGTTACAGTTACAACATAGGTCCGGATACAAGTACAGTTACACAGGAATCGGACCAGAATATCGCCAAATGGTAAAAAAACTTGGCGATTTGTTGCCAAATTCGGCAACAAAAAATAATCACCCAAACCATCACCAGCTTGGCGCTCTCGCCATAGCCATTTATCTCAATGTTAAATGGACTTACCTGTAACCTTATTTTTCTGGCGATGCTTAGCATTCTGAAGCATTCTTTCAAGTTACACTATACTAGAAATGCTACAATTTACATATAATTTCGCTAAAATTATTTACATACGTACAAAATTTATAATAATATAAATGGTTCAATCGACAGAATAAAATGATCAACAAAAATCTTGACTGAGGATACTTACCTTTTCGTGCTGCTTTCACGTGTAACCATCTTTGCTGCCAGAAACTTCTGAAAGGCGCTATGCCCGTGCCAGGTCCGACCATGATAATGGGTACTCGAGAGTTGTCTGGTAAGCGGAAATTCGGAGCGCTAAACAAGATAATCAAACATCGAACCTGCGTTATTAACTATGTTATATTTATTTTAATTTCGAACAGTTACGTATTTCTCTAATGACATCTAACATTTCGAGATTAAAATCAATCTTAATTAAGTAAAAGAAGGAGAGTAACTGTGAATAAAGGAATAAAGTTCACATAAAATGAACGTGTAAGTCTTTGCCTTCATAATCTGATATACGAAGGAAGGGTGGAAAGCTCTGAGTCTCGCACTGAAGAGGTATTTGAGATATTGACACGATTTCTTTACATAAGCAACTTTTATATCAATGCACATATACATTCTTTATTGCGGACCCATTAAGCTGAGTCATTTTTCAAGACCAGTTTCTGTTTAAGCTTCTGGTTCTATTACAATTACGTGTTCCGCTATCTTCTGTTACTACCACTACATAGACGGAACCCACACCTCCGGTACAGATGCTGTTCACACATTTTTTAGACGATGTATATTGTATTCACAAAACTAAATTACATAAAATTCTTGTATTTTAAATGTTCTATGACATTCTTATTGAACGATCTTTCGACACCGCAATTTCCAGGTAATAATGCTTTGAAGTGGCATAAGATTCCTACCGAACAGCTTTTCAGAGTCCTGTTAGGGTTTTGGACAAGTTTGGATAATGCGTTTTTAAAGTCCCAAGCACAAAAATCCATAGGATGACACGGGAGATTTAGTAGCGATCAGTGAGGGTATGGCCTGATACCAGTTTTTTGTCCCATTCTTTAGGAATTTACAGTGGATTTTGATGTGTGAATGCTAGCTTTGATGATGGAGTCTCACTATGGGTAAAGCGATGGTATTTCATTCAGAAAATTGGCGATAAAAATGTCCTGATAGTATTTGAGGTTAATCTTGACATTTTTTTTTTGCACTGCATTTATTTTTAATTGCCTTATAAGAAAAAACCAGCAACAATCATGAATACTTTAGAAAAATTTCTTCGATCTTTGAACCTGTACTAAATTTTTTTTCCCCTTTTATGATAATAAATGGCTCTTTTTTGTTTAAAATCATTTAAATACACCCAGGCTTCATATTTGACAAGTGTTTTCCATTTTTCTTTGGATAAGTGTTTCTCATATAGAATTCTGCAGCGATTCCTGGTTAAGCGATATGCTTGGAAGAAGAGACGAGCACATGCGTTTTACGCATTTTAAGATGTAAATCAACGTTATTTTGTTTACAGTAACACAAGCATTTTTAAGGATTTTTTAACTGTCCTTGACTAGGGGGATTTTTTTTTAACATTAACAACGTACCTTTGTAATAGTCGAAGATGTCGCTTTTTCCTTGGATACTTGTTTGGATTTTGTCCCATTGAGGCCAATTGACGTTTGTTCCTTTCTGTTGATGAGGTACCTATCGGAGCTTTAGATATTCACAAAACATGACTCTCTCATCGTTTTTGGGATAACGGAGATGCATATTCTATTCGGAAAGAGCGTAAATGAGCCTTCGAACGGCGCTTGTTAAATTGCTATTTGATAAAAAAAAACTTTCAAGGCCACAGACGATAATTTTGACTTTAAAAACATAGTACAATTGCAATTACTTTGCAGCAAATGATTTTTATTACCGCTTACCAAAATCGTCTAAAAAATGTGCGAACAGCCTCTGTATTAGGCGAGAGGTTAGAAAATCGTCAAAAGGCCCCCACCCCCCCAAAAAAGAGAGTTCTCGTTGCGCACTTATTAACTTAAATACTTTCACTAAACAACTTGAATTAGTAACGTGAATTTTCAGTTTTTTTTCAACATGTTTATGTGATGTATCGATTGGATTAGATGATAAAATCTCTTCAAAATTAGAATTGTTTGATGTGAACTTGTACACTCTTCACATCAACAATAACAACAACAGGAAAAAAAAAAAAAAAAAAAAAAAAAAAAAAAAAAAAAAAAAAAGACCGTTCTATATCTCCCGTTCTATTGGACCGATTGACGAAATTCAACTTGCGTATTTCATGTCATTAAAGCTCGATTTAGGATTTATATATAGCGCTGTTCTAACATAGGTATACGGACGCAAAACCGTACTTTATCGGAATGACATATTGATTTTTTTTTCTTCTTTCCATTCTACGACTCAGTTTATGCCCAAATATTAAATTTTATAAAATATGATGAGAAGCTTACCGAGAAATTCAAAAAATTTATCTTAACGCACGTTTTACAGTTTGCGCCAAGAATAATTCATTCGGTGATATTCTTAATTTATAGTAACCAATTTTCATTTCCCTTTTTTTCACTGTGCACGAGCGGAAAAAATGGTGAATCGTTCATTCTTTCAAACAAACTACTAACAAAGCGCGTAAAGCCCATTTGGGCGGTATTATCGATTATAATAAATATGCCAAATTTCAAAGCTCGCCAATATATAAATTCACGTATATCTTTGGAAATTTTGAATAAAAAACCTCAATTATTTGCAGTTATGCCCAGAAACACATCTACTTTAAGGCAGCGTTAAAAATTTTATGGTTCATAATTTGATTTTGAAAACTTTATAAAATAAAAATTACTAAAAAATACAAATTTTAAAGTAAATCAGAAAATATCTAGGAATTTTATTTGGATTGAACTTAAATTTCGAATTGTGAAAGAAGGAATCCAGTAAGTTTAATAAAAAAAGAGATACTAATAAATGTATTCTAAATTCAATTAATATTGAGGATCTAAAATGTTTAGAGCTAACTTTTTAAAAACTGCATATGGAATTTTTACAAAACTTGTCGCTTTGGTATAATTTGAGTCTTGGAATCGAAATACGAAAAAAATAGGTATTTAAAAAAAAGTCGGATTTTGTGTCAGAATACCTATGTTAGAACAATGCTAAACATGAGTCTAATATATATCTCAAGTAGCGCTTTCGAGACACATAAAACGCAAATTAAATTTCGTCAACTCATCCAGAAGAACAGGAGATGCAGAAATGTCCCCCGCTTTTTTTTTTTTTTTTTTTTTTTTTTTTTTTTTTTTATGCAAGGAGGAGTACATTAACAAAAATGCATGACGGACCAAGTTAACCAAATGCAGTATTTAATGCTTGAACTTTGAATCCCACGAACGGGCTGGCTACATGGACGTTTTCGTGGCTTCCCCAATGTGTTACATGTATACGAGCTAGTTTCTCTTATAAAAGTCCTCAGTTATTACTGATAAACTTTATTACTGATAAGTTTCTTAAGTAAACAGTTATTACTGATAAGTTTCATCGTTATTACTGATAAACTTATAAAAATTTATCAGTAATAACGAAGGTATTCCTACCTTTAGACAGGTAACCTTCGAGTGTTTCGCAGTGCAAATAAACCAAACCAATACTTAATCGAATAAACTGAGGATTGAAGAATTCAATTTTATTCTTTCAACATATTTCATGAATATAAGTAATTTAGGATAAAAAAATTCGTTATGATAAGTTGGTATTTATAACATGGGTTCAGCCTCACATGGTGTGGATGTGGAGGACTCCAAGTACCTGTGAACGGAATCCGTTATAGCAAAGTCTTATTGTTTCTTCAACGTCGCTCATTTTATTGATCAGCAGGGAAGTTTAGGCTTTTGAAGGTATGAAAACCGTCCCGTGTATTTTCCTACCCAAGTTGAGAAGACCATCCGTGTTAATACACAGCATATGCATCGTATTTGTTTTTACCTGGTTTCACCTGCTCTGATTAGAGATAAAATTTTCTGTTTCGGGTTGCCACTGTAGGCCTTTATTTTAAAAGGCTTTGGGCACTGCTAAGGCCAGAAGTGGTGGTCATTTTATTATAAAGGCACCTAACAAGCGGCCACCATTGCCTCCTATAAAGGGACAGACAATTTGCATCCATGGCTTCTACAGGACTCCAACCCGGACACTTCGATACAGCAGTCAGAGTCTTTAACCACTCTGGGCGGTGCCACTATAGGCTTTGTTCGCCATTGCGTTGTGCGATTTTTGTAAAACATCTGTTATTGTTATTACTTATGCTCACTGTTTGACCGTCACATCAGCCCAAGCCCACAAAATACTTCGTGGCAAGGAGCTCTAGTTTACGCCTGTCGTCGACAACAGCCTTGAACACCTTACAGGTGGCAGTGCGATTTAGGTCAGTTCGGCCCACAAAGTTGATGGATAGCACCCCGGGGGGGACGAGTCTGAGGATATCCCACCCATCTTCCCTTCCACCAAACCATACTAGAGGACTTTCGACTCGCATATTTAGACTGCCTCCATTCCGCCCCAACACTATACATTTTTTAAACATCCATGCGTTCCCGGGATTCGAACCTGGGCCGTTCGGCGCGGCAGTCAGCGACGCTAACTACTACACCGATTGGACGGCTGCAAAGTTTCTTTGTGTAGCTAGTAGTTCCTTTGTAGTATTCTACAAAGATCCTTTCGGCTACAAATCTAAGAAGTTTCTTTGTGTTCCATTCGAAATTCAGATTTCAGTTTTTTTATCGTCTATTTGTGCACACATGAACATCTGTTTGCAATTTTAGTTTCAAATTTTTTAGCAAAAACGAACATCATGACTAGAAGTCTGATAAAGGTTGCCCGAAGCTGAGAAATTTCATCTTAATTTAAAAAAAAAAAAAAAAAAAAGTTACTTTTCAATCCCATTTAAGAAAACAAACATTTATTGCGTATGTGTAATACACATTTGTAGTATACATAGCTTGCTAATATCATAGTTTTCTAAGCCGCTGATATATTCAAATACAAATAGCATCGGAAACGTCTATCTTGGAAGCTTACAGGTCTCGAGGGAGGGCGCCATGTTTGCACGCAGTCGTGCAAAGCGAAATATTGCGTGTCCTGTTCATTCGTAGCAATAGCAGATACACAGACAGAAACTATCCTTCGAAAACCTACCTTGGAAGTTCACAGATGTGTCCAGGAATGCGCGCAATATTTGTACGTGTTCGTTTCGTAGATTTGTAATAAACATTGAAGTAAATTCATCTTGATTTGGC